GGGGGGCTATGTTGCAGAGCACCCTTGCAATAAGTGAAATCTGTGAGATAGAAATTGAAATACTTCCTAGGGATGGTTTTTGTCGCCTTTAAGCTCCTTAAACACACTTTTAAAAACAACGAAACCACATTTCAAAACCCGATATACGCACAACACGCTCTTGATGAGTATCGCCGTCAGTCGCAGTCACTGACTTCATTTCAATGTCATTTATTTTGATTCATTTGAGAAATGCTCGTGCCAATTTAGCTTTCCGGCTTTGTTTGGTCACATGAAACTTTCACAGTTAAGACTCGTCACTCCCTCGTGCTTTTGTGGTCCCGCAGCTGATCTCGTCGGTGCCCACGCACCGCCTGAAGTTCCTGAAAGAGGCGGGTCACGGCACCAAAAAGGAGGAGATCCACGAGGAGGAGATGACGGCCGACGCCGATGAGATCGACCACGCCGAGATGGAGCTCAGGCGGGGACAGATCCTCTGGTTCCGCGGCCTCAACCGCATTCAGACGCAGGTACGACCGCGGCAACGGTGGACCAAAGCATTGGGACGCGCCGCTTCGTTTCGAAACCGGTTGTCCGTTCGTCTGAATGGTTCCAAATTCGGGGTCCGTAAATAACCGCGGAATACTTCCTGTGGATCGAGGAAGGCCCTGCACTTGGAAAGTGTGCAATTTATCCGCATAGTCAAGTTTGTAAGTCAATGAAAAGTCAGTGCGTGGTTTTCTCTTGAACAGGTGTTGTCTTAATTTCACACTCTGCTGCCACACTCAAGCCCAATAAGCTTCATGGACATTTTCATCCAGTCGTCACTCAACGTGGGAGGCGTGTGCGTGTGCGTGTGCGTGTGCGGGCCCTCCTACAGGATTGATTAACGCTCAGTGAGCGTTAAGTTGTGTCCACGGGCAGTCCCATTCAGTCCCGATGGGCTTCATTAGCCTCGGCGCGAACGCCCGCCCTGCACACACACACACACACACATTCACACACCTACAATAACAGAAGCCAGCTAGCACCCCCCCCCCATGCCACATACACTCAGGAAAGACTGGTATTTCAGTACGAGCGCTAAAGTACGAGAAATGCAATAAACAAAGAGATACACCTTTTGCATTTAAAACGACCACATTGCTTGAAGACGGCTGCGATAGACCCCCCGCATGCCTGCGACCCTTGTGAGCAGTAGCGGATCAGACAACAGGTGAATGGATGGACATTGCTAAGCCATTTGTTTTTTTTCCCGCTCATCTGATTAAATACCTGCCCTACGGTAGTTGAATTTCTCATTGATAATCAATCTATAGATACCGTACTTGTACTGTATTTTATTTCATTAAAACAATGAATTAAAATGAACTTTCTTCATCTAAAAATGAACTGTCACATTGTTCATAATGGTGCTAATAATAAAAATAATAATAACCATGACTTTGTGAAGCACCTTTCAAAACAAGGTTACATGGCACTTAACTGTAAAACAAGCAATAAAAAGTCATACCGTATAGAAGACAGTGAACCAAACTGCACAGAGAAATAAAAAAATGAATAACATCCATCCATCCATTAGCAGAGCCGCTTATCCTCGCGGGGTCGTTCTGCAGCCCATTCCAGCCGCTTTCTGGCAGTAGGCGGGGGACACCCTGAACCGGTTGCCAGCCAATCGCAGGCCACACAGAGGCAAAAAAAATCACACCTAAGGGCAACGTAGAGAGCGATCATAAAGAAAGTAATGTTGCTCATTGGAGCTTGCACCCTTTTCACTTTTGTTTTGTTTTTTTTTTTGTCTTTGGGATCAATGCTAACACGTGAGGAGCTCAAAGAGCGATAGAAACCTCCGGAAGTGACGCAGCAGCCTTTCTGTCACCTTGGCGCATCCTGCCAAGGCGCTGTCTTTTCTTTCTGGAATTTGGTCTCCCCCCTGGGAAGGAAGAAGGAGGGCGGAGGGCGAAGACGAGAGGAGGCGACAAAAAGTCTGCCGGCTAATTAGTGCCTTATCTCTCCACGCTCCTCTTCCTGTCCTCCTCCTCTTAATCCTGGCGACAGCGTGAGGTAGAATTGCTACAAGCTGCACATCGCAGACCGAAGCTTATCGCTCACTCGTTCGCGCCTTCTTCTCGTCCCTGAGTGCCGCCGGCCGGCCTCTTTGTTCGCTCTTCCGTGTCTGCGAAGCTTATCGCTCACTCGTTGGCGCCTTCTTCTCGTCCCCGAGTGCCGCCGGCCTCTTTGTTCGCTCTTCCGTGTCTTCCTTCGGCTTGATCACACCTCCTTCTCCCGCTTTGTCTTCGCTAAATGAATGACACACTTTTCTTCTCCCGTTGTGCTTCTCTCTCCAACTCTGTCATGACCTTAATTCTCTGCCCGTCGTCACCGTCATCGTCATCAGAGTCACCGGCCGCACGATTAGGAACGGCTGACAATGGCATCCGTGTGATGACTTCTTTTTTTTTTTTTTTTTTTATGTGAGAGACCTCAGACGTACGTATTCATCAAGTCGATCGTTCAATGGGTAGGCATGGAAGACCGAAAGGAAGGCGGGGCTTCTTGCGTAGGTCTATTCATGATAGACGTGTCGACCAAATGTCATGTTGCTCAGTCAAACCGACTTTCACTGCTGATTTTTTTAAAGTAACAATGAAGAAACCAATTCCAGGAGGGAGTTTGACAAAATGACCCTAAAACTGCAACTGTCGGACTTCCTGGGTCTTTTTTGGCTGGGATTCTTGAAACGTTTTGGGTGGGTCTACTCGTGATCGGAATATCGATTTCCTTCCATGTCGCTCGGTCAAACTGGCTTTCGAGGCGGAATTTTCAAAAGCGTCTGTCCAGTAATAGGCTTTGCGTAGGTGTATTCACGATAGACGTGTCTACCAAATGTCATGTTGCTCAGTCAAACTGACTTTCACTGCTGATGGTATGAAAGTAACAATGAAGAAACCAATTCCAGGGCAGAGTTTGACAAAATGAGCCTAGAACTGCAAATGTCGGACTTCCTGGGTCTTTTTTGGGCTGGGATTCTTGAAACGTTTTGGGTGGGGTCTACTCATGATCGGAATATCGATTTCCTTTCATGTCGCTCGGTCAAACTGGCTTTCGAGGCGGAATTTTCAAAAGCGTCTGTCCAGTGATGAGAAAAGATGCGATAGCCTTGAAATAAAACTTATTCTTGTAAACAAGATGGAGGCTTCTTTTGCTTGTGGTCCAGCAAATCAAGCAATCGCCTAACGTCACCCTTGAGGACTTTTCTCTCTGGCTGGTGTGCGTGTGTGTGCGCGCGCGCTGTCTAACTTTCTTCTTCCAGCTTTGTCTAACCTCGTCCCTCCAGTAACCGTCCCTCCTTTGCGCCCTCCCTCCTCGGCTTCCTTCAGATGGACGTGGTGTACACCTTCCAGACGGGCCAGGCGGCGGTGCCCGGTGCCCTGCGCCGGCAGCCCTCGGTGGTCAGCCAGCCCAATGACGGCGCCGGCGCCAAAACGCTCTCTAG